AAAACTGGCTCATCCGCCCCACCCCACATGGCAGCAGAGGGCTCTCATTAAAATCGTAGCACGAATTGCTCAAACTTTCCAATGCACACTTGAAACGGGGCATAAGTTGGTACTCAGGGCAGGGAGGCTGCTGCATCTACTAGAAACCAGCAGTGGCTAGATGCAGACTGTACGGCAATGTTTTCGGATGCTCAGGTTCCTTCAGAAACCTGTGCCCTAGCACCGTCCCCATCCCCCCGCCCCCGCTCCCCAGCAGGCTGGGGACCGGCACTGACACTGAAGGCTTTCCAGGCTGCTTGGGGTGCAGGATGAGGCCATGTACGGCCAGGAAGCATCAGGGAGCTCGCAAAGCCACAGAGCATGCAGCAGAAACCGCAGGGGAGGGCGAGCCAGGAGCCCTCCAGCAGCACGCTGATGGAAAGCTTGCTCCACTGCAAGCGACAAAACAGGGGTTTTTTCCTCCTTTTTTGCTTAAAAATAATAAAATAAAAGGATGAAAAGAATAAAAGAAAAGATCAATCTTGCTGCTAGGAAGCCACTGCAGGAGAAAGCGAGGTGAGCAGCAGTGTTGTGCCCCAGACCAGCACATGCCCCGGGTGCTGGCATCGTGGAGGAGACCTGGCCCCAGCCTCACAGCAGCCCCCAGGCTTTTGGCAGGCTTTGCACCCTGCCTGCACCCTGCCTGCACCCTGCCAGACCAACACAGCTCCTGATGGCTCTTGCACCAGCTTCTACAGCACCAAGGAAAACAGCCCGGCTCCAGCCATGCTGCGGCTCCCGCTCATGCTGGTAAATCCCCTCCAGCCCAAATGGGGTGGATGGCACATCTTGGGGTTAGCTGAGGGGGGGCTGGAAAAGGTCCTCTGATGCTTAAAAAAAATAAATTCTCTTTCTCTGAGCTGGAATATGATGAATTGCACAGGGCAGTCCTATTTGGCCACTGAAAGAGCAAAAGAAGGTCTAAAAAGGAAGGAGAAAGAGTAGGAAAAGAAAGGAAGAAGTGAGAAAACAGTTTGTTCTTCAAAACTAAGAGACAGAAACTTCAGCAAGTACATGCCATAGCACTTTGTTGAAGCACAAATGTCCTTTTTTCCCCAACAAGAAGCTGGCCTAATGTGTCAGCGAGGGTCCAGCCAACGCGGCCGGGACCCAGACAAGGCCCCGGTCTCTTGCAGCCATCACTGTCAGGGCACAGAGCTATGACCCTGAGCAGTCACCTCAAAGGGTCTAGGGTCAGTCCCAAAATGACTTGAAAGGATCTAGGGTATTTAAGGTGCAATGAAAATTTGGAAGATGAAGAAAGCAATGACCAAACATCTCAGATGGAGCTAATTGAAGCCCAGAGCTGAATGTCCTCAAAGCCCAGGGAAACCAAAACTTCCCAAATGAGATGAGGAACACAAATTACCGCAAAGACATGCTGAGGAAGATAAACCCACAGGTTCCCAAAGATGCTTCCCCAGCTGGTGTAACTGAATTCACATCTGTGAGTCTGATGCAGACAGAAGGTTATGTGGCTGGGGGAAGAAGCGGAAATGGCTAATAGCGTTTGCAAATAAACACTGAGAGCTTGAGGTCTTTCAGATACTTCTCAGAAATTAGAGAGGCACTTACAAACAATTTGCACGAGAAACAGCACCT